TTATTGAAGATATAAATATTATTTTCGATGAATATCTCTAAATACTTTCTGATAATACTAAATTATCAGAACACTGTTAACTCGAGCAAGTATGTGACAATCACTTTAAGTTCGTGATACATATTTTATTATTTTATTCGTCTTTGGCACGATGAACATTATTTCTAAGAGTTGTCCACGGAATACTGAATTCTTTTGATACTCTATAGAGAGTGTAGGGTGTGCATTAAACCTTAAATATGTATATTGTGACCGCGATATCAGTTGCAATAACTATAATTTGCCTGTAAAATGTATTTTCGCAAAACGATAGTCTATCATTCTTCATTATTCATCATAAAAACTTGAAAAATCGTTAACTTTTTGAGTAAACAAAATAAGGATTAGTTCAACAAAACTATGAAAAATCAGCTGATTTTCTTATCTAAACCACATAACCTATGGTCTCACCACTAACGTGACACGGTTTTAACGCAATACATACACTTTTTCTATTTAAAACAGATAAATAACGTGAGATAAAAAATATAAGTTCACGCAACAAGCAAAACTGCGCGACACGTGACAAATTCGTTGATTGTTACCATCTCGCTCGTGAGCGATTTGAACCCGACTTTTACAAATGAAAAGGACATTTTGTGTGACAAGTGTAAGCACTTTAACGTTCCTTTTAAATCTGTATTAGCTTCTGAACATTTTGTCACCGAGTTAGATATATCACGTAATTAGGCGAGTTTACTATACCTACAGGCGACACGCCTGTACATAGTTACTCAGTGCTACTCAGTCAATCGCAAAATTCTGAGAGGCACTACCACTGCAACTGTCACCCTAAGACATAAGCTGGTAAGTCCTATGCGCCTGTGATTTCACCACCACTCTTATCTTCAAAACCGGAAAGCAGTAATGCTCACACTACCGCTTGGCGGCCGAAATAGGTAACGTGGCAGTACTTCCCTAAACGAACACTATTTACAAGGAGGTCCACTACTACTAAAAGGTTAAGCCGATTCCGCATCGACAAGTGCGGTATTTCCCTCAATCGAATGACAGTCTTTTGTTACCTGTATTAAACCAACACGATATACTGAATATAGAATCGAGAAGAATTTTGCATTTTTCTACATTGATGCACTCTGTTGTCAGATACAAAATATACATATACATATGTACATTTTGTATCTGACAACAGAGTGCATCAGTGCCGATACAGGAACGACTGAAAATCAGCGTCTGTTTCGACCGAG